GAGAGAGAGAGAGAGGGAGGGTATCTATCTATTTGTGCCTGTTGTAAGGTAGTTAAATTATCTAAATGGTGGGGTTCCTTTTAGTCCGTAGCACTGTTATGAACTTATGATTGGGTTTCTGCCTTTTTGGCGTCTTTTCTTTACTGTTACTGTCTCTGTAGTTTTTTTTTTTTTTCTCGCAATCAGGTTTTAAGTCTTTTTCCCTACGACAATTGACAGAGTATCAGTCTTATCGATTTTCAGTTTATTGAAAAATATTCCAATTGTTTTTTTTTCTTTTTTGATTGTTTTCTTGTAACTGTTCATCATTTTTGTCTCATTCCTTTTTCCTTCTAGATTTGAGTCAAAAGACTGTTCCTGATCTTGTACGACTATTTGGATAATGTTTTCTATATCCTTTTTTCTTTTATTTTTCACAGTTTTTCTCTAGTTTTCTCTTTTTTAGGGAAATTAAATTTGTTTCAGAAGATTGTTCCTTTGGGATATTGGTTCGTTGTTTTTGTTTCTTGATTTGATTTTTTATCTTTCAAATGTTGGTGAGTTTTCAGTCGTTTCCTTTTGACATTGCAAATTTGAATTTATCGACACTGAAATTAAATATCAGTTGTTCCCTTTTCCCATTGCAAATTTGAATTTATCAATATTGAAATCACTTCTCTCTCTCTCTCTCTCTCAAACAGGGGAATTCGCTGCTTATATGACTGGTACAAATTTAGTAATGGAATATGTGTTCTCTAATGCCGCCGTTGCAAGGAGTTTAACCTCTTATTTGGGTTCAGCGTTTGGCATTGTTGCTACTGAAAAATGGAGAATAAAAATCGACAGTTTTCCGGAAAATTACAACTCCCTTGACTTTGTAGCGGTCGCCATTATCTTAGCCCTCACCTTTTGTATTTGTTACAGGTTTGAACCCATTACCTTCCTTTCTAATTACTATTTGAAACAACCGTGAAACTGATTATGATTCTCCTCTCTACAGTACTAAAGAGAGTTCGATTCTGAACATGGCGATAACAGGCGTGCACATAGTATTTATAGTGTTTATCATAATTTTGGGGTTTTGCAAAGGCGAGTCTGAGAATTTTACACACACCCAAAATCCATCAAAAGAAGGGGGTTTCTTCCCTTATGGTGCAACAGGAGTCTTTAATGGAGCTGCCATTATTTACTTCAGCTACATAGGTTATGATGCAGTCTCTACAATGGCAGAGGAGGTGAAGGACCCTGCTAAAGATATACCAATCGGTGTGTCTGGTTCGGTTGTTCTTGTTACAGTGCTCTACACTTTAATGGCTGCTGCTATGGCCAAGCTGGTCCCCTATGATGCGGTAAAATTTCTCTTTCCTCTCTCTATATTTAACATAGCATGTTAAATGGATGACACTAAATGGAATTGAATCCTCACCATCACCATCAAAGCTTTTTATGGACCATTTGTACGAATCTTAATATGTTATTATGATCTCATCAAAGCTTTTTTTGGACCATTTTGGTTGGCTATACGAATCCTAGTTATTATGATCTATTGACGGTTGAGGGTCATACCCTCAATAAAATCTTAAGTACCAATATTTTTTTGTTTTTGGATTATTTTTAACTATATTTGATGTGGATCCTAAAATTTTAGCTAAAATATAAAATGTGGAAAATTACAAAGAAGGTTGATCAACCGGTCTTTTTCTTATGTTTTTTCAAAATCGTCTCTCGATCAACCTGAATTTTATTTTTATTTTTAGTTTTTTTATGGCAGTGCGTCGAACTTTAAGGCATGACCCTACTTAAAAAAAAACTAAATCTTTTTTAAAAAAAATCAAAATTCAGGTAGATCGAGAGGCAATTTTGGAAAAAAAGGAAAAAAAAATACATATAGTCCGATATTTTTCGTAATTGTCACATATAAGTAGAGCATTTTGTATTTTACCTAAAATTTTAAAATCCATACGTAAATCACTCTATTAAATAATATCTCTTTTTTTCTCTCTTCGATGGATGGTTTTTACTCTCTGTTTTCATGCAATTCGTGTGATCTCTCTCTAACCAAGGTCTTAAATGTTTGCAACCTACTCTCTTTTCATTATCCATTTAATTCATGGACGCACTCTCTCTCTCTGTAATCCTTCTTGTTAAATGGCTAATAAGGTTCTCTCTCTCCCTGTTCAATTTATGGACTCTCTCCCTCTCTCTCTAGAATTGCTTCTCTAGCCTTTCCCTCTCTCTATGTTTCTCAATTCAATTTATTGTCTTCCGCTCCGTATATATGTTTTTCTGTCCCTCTCCATATGTTTCTCTCCTCTAATGTTTCTTCCATATGTCTCTCTCCTCTAATGTTTCTTTCTCTTGCTTCCTTTTATCTCTTTTCCATTTGTGGAACGACTGATATCTTTGTTTTCTTTTGAGACATACGGCTCTAGAAGGGTCAATTACAAAATAGGATTAGTGGATCTTTTCGGTAAGAAAGGAAAGTATATATTATATATTCGGTTAATACAGAAAGTGTAGATTGTATACATTAGATATCCGGTTGATACAGAATGTATAATTTGTAATTAGTAAAGATGGGAAGGATCTCTTACCTTTCCCATATTTACTATCCTTACCATATATATTTACTACCTTTTTTATATTTACGGATTACAATTTACACTTTCTATATTAACCTTTCCATATTTGGGTCTTACCTTTCCCATATTTACTTATTACAATTTATGCCTTCTATATTAACGGTCCCATATTTACTACCCTTCCCATATTTATTGATTACAATTTATATCTTTTATATTCACTTTCCCTTATTTACTATCATTCCCATATTTATTGATTACAATTTACCCATTTTATATTACTATCCTTAACATATTTACTGATTACAATTTACACCTTCTATATTAACGAGATATAGAATATATACTTCATTTTCACATCTAGCACTTTGGGGCTTACCCAGCTTACCAAGTTATGGCTCACAGTAAAATTCATTTCACTGTAAAATTCATTTCAAGAAGTCAAATCTTTAATGGGGTTTTCTCTGTTGGCTACCCAAACGTAGATTTGGATAGGGATCATGGCGTACAAGATACCCAAGTACCAGGGCGAACCACCATTTGGGCTGAAGAAACTGAGCTCGAAGGTTCCATTCCTGCTCTTTAATGTTGAATTCCTGGAGATTAGGTTGCCGGAAAATACAGAAACAGAGGAAAAATAGATGAAAAGGTAGAAAATTCAAGCGAAAATTACAATGTTCTCAGGGGAAAAGGTGATACAATGGTGTTTAGATTAGGCAAAAATGTGATACAATGGTTGGTGTTTCACGTTTGAAAATGGGTGTGGTTTGAATAGGGCGACAATATTAAGAAATCAAAGTAAAACTCCCTTATAAATGTTTATAATCTATCTTCCTCTTTAATTATAAAATTTAAAGTTTTAAATGGTACAGATCGAACATATCTCTAAATACTTAAAAAGATTGAAGATGCATTAGTTTTAAGACTTGAGAACAAATATTTTTTTTTTCAAATTTGTATATCTTTGAGATGAAATAATCAATCTAAGGGTTCTTAAGCATTAAGAACAACTTTTTTTAGTGGATTTTTGAGGTGCGCTTTTACTTCTACAATATAAGGTTAATGTCTTGTACAATTTTTTGCTTTTAAGTTCGGGTCTATGAAGGGTACTTACTACTACAAGTCATTTTAAGGGGGTCGCAATTTTTCCTTGTTGGGGTTTATAAAAGCTATGGGGCGCTTACAAGTACAAGTCATATATTATAAGATTTGATGTAAGGAGATCATAATTATTATTAAAAAAATTCAGGTGGTCGGGACTAGACAAAGCCCAAAATAAATTTTTGAAAATATTGTGGCACATTTCAATATGTTTTATTTCACATCTAATGATTAAATATAATTGTGACCACTATGTAACAAAATGACCAAAATAATACAAAAATAAAATTATGAAATTTACTTGTTTACTGTTTCAGTAGCTTTTTCCAATATTATGAAAAAAATTCTTAGTTTCCCCCTCCTATTATGTCACTTTTAAAAAGTCTCTTGAAGGAGGTCGGGGTCATTCTTACAAGCACATTGACTTACCAAAAAAAAATAAAACTTATAAAAAGTCTCAATATATAACATTAAAGGTTATATGAGGTTGCAACCTTAAAATGTAGAATTACATATGCACCTCAAAAATCATCAGAAAATGTTGTTTTAATGTTGAAAAATCTTCTAATTGATCATCTCGACATTGAGATGTATGAATATCAAAGAAAGAGTTTTGACTCTTAGAAATAGTGCATCTTGCAACACATCATGTAGACCGTCTATTTCAAGATTTTCATATATTTATAAATCTATTTGATTTTAACCATTTTTGGATTCTAAAATTTTATAATTAGATATAAAAATAGATTATCAGATAATCTAAAAAAAATTTATACCAAAATTATATTTGATAAATTTTGAAAATGCGCCTTAATTGGATTGTTTAAAGTTGCAACCTTATAGAAACCACACCCTTCGAAGTTCCATTAATTTTTCCCGTTATGTATTTGAACTTCTCACGATTTCCGTCCTTTTAAGCAATAAGAATATCTTGGTCATTTTTGGCGTTATTTGTATGCCGTAACATTCACTCATCGGTCTCTTTCGTTCAAAACCGTTCCGTTTCCGTCGTTTCTAAACTGTGCGTGCTAAGAGTAAGGGTATTTTTTGCAATCTTAAAACTAGTTAAGATATTCTTGTCTTATTCTTCTTTTTCTCCTCTTATGCCTTTTAATGTGGTATTTTCATTAACCAAACGAAACTTTGCGGATATATTTGTTATAAAAGAGGAAAACTCTATTACATGTATTATTATTTATTTTCGGGGTAGATTAGTGGGTAATACATGTCCCTCTACCTTCATTTTTTTATATTAGGTTGCAACCTTAACATTTAGAACTACGGATGCATCTCAAAAATCCATCGTAAAAGGTTGTTTTAATGTTGAAAAATCCTCTGATTGATCATCACGACATTGAGATGTATGACTATGAAAAATAAAAAGATTTTGAGTTTCAGAAATAATGCATCTTACAACATATTATTTAGATTATCCATTTTCAATATTTCCAAATGTTTATAGATCTACTTGATTTTAATCATTTTTGAAGTTTAAAATTTTATAATTAGATATCAAAATAGATTCTGAGATAATCTTAAGAATATTTTACATCAAAATTATATGTTATGATAAAATTTGAAGGTGTGCCTTAATTGGATTGTTTAAGGTTGCAACCTTATGAAAACCACACTCTTTTAGAAATAGTTAGTGATTTTCTTATAAAAGAGGAAACTTTATCACATGTGTTTTTATTATTTTTTTGTATAGATAAGTGGAGAATACAGGAACCTTACCGGCTTTTTATAAATAGTTAGTAGCTTTTGAATGCATGAATAAGATTAAGAAGGCTTAGGTGGAGCTACCACCATGACCTTGACCTCAACCCCGATTGGCAAACGTTTCCTCGTACAAACCCCCCAAAAGGCCAACAATATTGGTATTTTTGGAAGGTATTTGCTATCATTTTTGACAAAAGTTTTGGGATGATATCTTTCCTCTAGACGCTTCAAATATTGGGTTACTTGGTGCCCTAACAAATAAACGACATCTACATTAGAAGGTGTTGCTTAAGAAAGGCAACAATCCACATATTTCACAAAATAGAGGGGGGCTCATGTAATGAAGACTGGTTGTTGTATTTTTAAGGGAAATATTTGTATACTTCCCTTATTGTTGTATTTTTAAGGAAAATATTTGTATACTTCCCTTACAACATAAAACATATGTACTTTCCCCCTCGAATTTAGATCAGGTGAGCCACTGACGGTTTGATCTAGATCTAACGCCTTAGAGTATAAATTTTCGTACGTGCCATCTCCTCAATTGGGCGTATCTAAAAAAATATTAAAAAGAAATTTTGATAAAATATAATGACCAAAATACCCCTTGAATCTTTCAGGGGTATTTTAGTGATTTTATTTTATTAGGAATATTTTTTTTTTACAAGTGCGAGTTTAATAGAGGTGTGAATACCCAAAATTTGGTGTTAAAATAATAATTTTTTCAAAAATAACATTAAAATAGTGTAGAGATGTGACATTGCGATTGAGACCATCTCAACTGTTCATTCAGAATAGACGGTTGGCTAGGGAGAAGTATATATCTTTTATGTTGTAAAAGAAGCATAGAAACCTGCCCTCAAACATTATGGTTTGGATTAAGATATTTAATTGATTTTGTTTGGTTGCTTGAAATCTCAACACGCATAAAATGTGGATACTAGGGCAGAACATGGGGCATGATCCTTCGTTTATATGAACCCTATGCTTTTACAAAAGGATTCGCCATGTGTCCTCCATACAACTAAGAAAAAAAGCTTATCTTAAGAATATATCTTTTGCTTGTTTGGAGTATCTTTTGTTTGTTTGGTGTTCTATTTTTCATAGAATTTTTTCATAGATTTTTATTTGGGTTTAGTTTCAAACTTTTGCAGATTGACCTAGACTCCCCGTTTTCAAGTGCTTTTAAGAGAGTGGTGGGTTGGGGATGGGTATCGAATGTGATTGGTGGAGGAGCAAGCCTTGGCATATTGACTTCTCTTATGGTGGCCATGCTGGGCCAAGCGAGATACATGTGTGTCATAGGCCGCTCGGCTGTTGTCCCAACCTGCTTTGCAAAGGTCCACCCTCGGACCTCCACACCGGTGAATGCATCCATTTTTCTAGGTAAATTCTCTCCTTCTATCGAATTAGTTAGGGGTGGCAATGGACATAATGACTTTCACCTTAATAAACTAAGGCTTGGGCTACAAAATGTGGCTTGAGAGCCAGGCCAGTGCCGGGCCATTAGGCCATGAGGGTTGTATCGGGCCAGGGCTACGACTAGTTCAGACCAGTTCGGCCCATTCTGGCCCTCTTTTTTATTTTCTTTATCATTGATTTAATTTTTATCTAGCTCGGCCTTGCTCTCTTTGGCCGTCAGGGTTAGGCCAGGCTTGGGCTGGCTTGGCCCGCTGCCAGCCCTAAAATTAGTCTTTGGTCTTTCTCTAGCCCTAACCCAAAGCTGCTCTATCTCTCTCACACACGCACATTCGTGGAATCTAATGAAGTTAATATGGATTGCTGGTGAAATAAGGTTTTTTCCTTGTTTTCTTGACCAAGTTCCGCCTGGTTTTCTACTTTTAGATCTTTTTCTTTTTTCATCTAGTCCTATGTCATTTATTGTCTTACCATCCGCACACATTTACTATATATAGTAGCAATGGAGGAAATCCAGACCTTTATCACTTATATCCCTCCCCTTCTTTTCTATCTCTTTTATCTCCCATACTTGTGGTCCTCACATGTGAGTTTTTAAGTACCTCAATTTACCCCATTTTGGTCATCTGTACAAACGCTAATTGTCTTAGATACATGAGGTGTTTTGTATTAGGTTGGTAATCAGTGTAAAATTTTATCACATGTTATCTTATCACGAATCCCAATCTTTAAAAAAAAAACAAAAAAAATCCAAAAACAACTTGACCCTCGCGATTAATTACTTTTGTGGGCCAGTTTTATTCTCCAGTTTCACGTGAACATTAATACTCCTTTCCCTCCTCACACTCCATAAATTGAGAAACATTGTGATCGTCACATTTGCCTAACTACTTATGTCCAATCTGTTCACTTTATTCCCTTTTAGCGCGTGAGCATTGACAACTCTCCCTCTTTTTTTAATTATTCTCTATATTTGTCATGGAATATACGCTACTCTCTAATCTTAACGCCATGCTCATGTCAAGAGCATGCCAACCCCATTTACAGTTCAGAAAGCATAGTTCTATTGGGAGAATGTGCATAGAGCATGTACCATGGCTCTTGAGAAACAATGGCTCAAATTTAAACTCTCTTATTTGACCCGTCATGGGTGGGTGGGCAATCTAGTCCTCGGATGACTTGGAATTGTCCGATTCTAATTGAGTTTTTTTTATAAATTATTATTATTATTATTATTATTTGTTGCATGTTTTCTGATCCAGTTCAACCTATTTTGGCCACCCCATCTGTTTTTTAGACATTGGTACAATGTTACGAGACCTGCCTCGGCTAAGGGACTCAGCCTTTGGCCGAGGCATGTTAGTTAGCCAAGTTTGCAGGACTCAGTCGAGCCCTATACGGGGCCAAGATACCCTAAATAACATAAGAAAAAAAGAAAATTTGAAAAAATAAAAGAAAGCTAGTAAAAGTAAAATAAAACCAAAAAATAATATTACAAAGTTAAAATACGCTTAAAAAAGTACATAAAAAATGTTTTAAAAGAAACTAATTTACATGCTGGTTCATTTACTAAGAAAAGGGATTTTGGCAAAAAAATCACATGCATTGAAATTTTTTTCAATTTTTGCAGATTTTTTTTAGATTTTTTTTTTTTATGTACATCGAGGTGTACACAGACCTTGGGGTTACTCAGTCTTGCCCACTCGAGCTGAGTCGCTTAACATACAATGCCTGTCTCGGCCAATTCCAATCCCTGGGAAACACCATACACTTTTGTTGTACAAGCATATACTTGTTCTCCGATCACATTAAGATATCATTGACCTTTTTAAGATTCCCATTAAAAAGGCTCTTTTACCTTATTCGAGTTGATTGTTTGAACATTGATTTGACGTTATTTTTTTTTAAACAGTATTTGACGGTTCTTAATTTATCTGTGCCCTAGGACTCTGCACGGCGGCAATTGCAATGTTCACCGACCTCAGTGTGCTCGTGAACCTGATCTCCATTGGAACCCTCTTTGTGTTCTACATGGTGGCCAATGCCGTGCTTTACCGCCGCTACAACGCACATGAGAAGGGCTCGGTCGTACCTACCCTATCCTTCTTAGCTGCTCTCTCCATTCTCTCCCTCCTCTTCGCACTTCTGTGGCACCAGAGTCCTCCACTCTCTAATCCCATAGCTGTAATCTGCCGATTGCTTGCACTTACTGCCTGTCCTGTCACAATTGTTGCCCTCCTCATCCTTTTCCACAACCTTGTCCCTCAGGCACCAAGGCCTGTCCTATGGGCGGTGCCTCTCATGCCCTATATTCCTGCCGTCTCTGTGTTTTTGAACATCTTCTTGCTTGCTTCGCTCGATGGGGCCTCGTATTTGAGGTTCGGGGTCTTCTCTGGGGTGGCATTGATGTTCTATGTTTTGTATAGTGTTCATGCTAGTTATGACCATGCGGAGGTGCGGGCTCGAGAGGCAGGGGCGGTCGAACTGATGGATGTAGAGAGGGAGTCGTCCAATCAGGGTGACTCTAAAGTGTAGAAATGTGGGGATGGGTGGGGAATTCCGGCAATTGGTAGTGGTAGGAGAAAGGTTGGGGGCGGTGGGACATATAATTTGTATTGTTGTAAAGGGAAAGGTGGGGGTCTTAGTATCACAAATTAGTGGTTAGTTTTAACCCTTTGATTAACAATCAGCGAGGTATATTTGTATAGGTGAAGCGTTTAAGGTAATACCAAGAAGAAAAACTGGGGACAGGAATGGAGGTCCCTATATTTTTGTTTGAAGAATCACCGATGTGTACCGAAGTTCAAAGGATCTTATCAACCAGGTTTTTGGTCTAACAGTTTGCAAGAGTGATGGGACAGTTTGCAAGAGTTATGAGACGTCTTGGACTTGATCTGCTCGGTTACAAAACTCGAACCAAGCGGCTGCAAAAATATTAATTAGGAAAAAGTTCATAAGCGGCGTTATGGCACATGAACAGTAGCCATGAGCAATAGCCACCTACTTTCCAATTTAGTTGGACAATCCAACTAAGCTGAATAGTGGCTAGTTTGAGTTACTTTACAGGTATTCCCCACATAGTATTCGAACTTAATAATTAAGTACTAATTAGCCTTGTTTCAAAGTTGGAGATGATCCAATACGCTTTAGGGCAAGCTATCCAACCGTCTATTATGAATAAAGGGTTAAGATTGTCCCAATCACAATATCATATCTTAATACTATTTTGTTCTATAAATTATTTTGAGACCAAATTTTGTACGTCTAATCTTTTATAAAACTCGCACTAGCGAAAAATATTAAAAAAATATTTTCAATAAAATAAAATGATCAAAATACCTTTGAAAGATTCAAGGGGTATTTTGGTGATTATATTTTATCAAAAAAATATTTTAAATATTTTTTATAGGTGTTCCCCAATGAGAAGATGACATGTCCCAAATTTCATATTCATACAATTTGTATAAAAAAAATTAAAAATAAAATGCTTTGAGATGTCGGATCGAAGACCAAATGATGAGTGGCTCTTTTGATCAAAATTGGATTGCAGGATGGTAAGGGAAGCATAGATCTTCTATGCCGTAAGAGAAGTATAGAAACCTTTCCCTATGCTTTAATCAATTATGGCAAAAGATTCTAGTCAAGACCACCTTGAAATGTGTTTTGTGCCTCAAAATATTTTTAGCCGTAGGGGTGGCAATAAGTTGGTCTTGGGCTGGATTAGGCCTTGGCTATAGGGTCAACCTTTGCCCATCCTAGACAAGGGCTAAGAGGCCCTACTTAGGCCTTGTCAGGGTAGGGTGGGCTTAGGTCAAATCCAATCAAAGTTAAAAAAATGAAAAAATATATAAGAAAAGAACGGTTAGGCCGGCCTTGTCCTAGGCTCGGATCCGCCCTGTCCTTAGGCCATGGTGGCCTGACCGTGGTCAGGTCCTCTGACAACATTTTGTGACCTAGGCCCTAGTTTTTCGCCAGCCCATCTGGCCTATTATCAGCCATATTAGCTACGATTCGGATCATTCACTTCAACCAAAAGGGCTCAAGGGATTGTCAGGGTGGGCGGAAAATTGAAATTTTTAGATTTTCAAAATCTATGATTTGAAAATGATAGTAGCTTTAAGATCAAATTTACCTAAAAAATGTTTTGAACCATAAAAAGATGCTCTATATCAAAAAATGTTCTGTACTCTCGATGGTCCATTGAAGATGACTGCCGCTCGATGGTCCGCTGGAGAAGCATTGGGATCTAAGGTTTGCAAGGTTTACGGGTGTGAGCGGGCTGCGTGTAGGTCAGGTTCCACCCGCCCTTTCGAGCTTGGAACCCAGCGCATCCTCGGCATCGCCTTTGAGGTCCATCGGGCTGGCCCTGTCCATTCATACTTTATTAGTGAAAACTCGCATAAAACAAGGTCCGACCACTAGGGACTGGGCCCATCTGTTAAATTAACAGGCCTTTAATCGAGGCCTTGACTCCACCCGCCTTATAAAGATGCCCTAACATAGCCCACGTCAGATCGTGCCATCAAAGACGGCTGGGCCAGCAAACCGGTTTACACCCTTAGGTGCAATGGGTTAAAAAACCAGCAGGTTGGATCTGGGTCCAAATCTTAGACCTGAACACTATTCGAGTCCTGATTTTAGTCTCACATTATATTTTTGGGTCTTAATTTATAAAAATATTTAATTATATTTAAAGATATAGATGTTTTAATTTTTAGGTGGGGTCCAATCAGATCCGGCTGGACCCGGACGCGACCTGCTGGGCCAACGCTAAAAATCTCTTTCGGGTGAAGTCAATACATCGAATCACCGTACCTTAGGTTCTTAACGTAAGTACGTAAAGTCAACATGTCGTTGTACAATTAGGGGATTTCAGCCTTGAGGCTTTTAGTTTTGGGTGCGGATTGTATGGAGCCGAGGCTCTAAATAATCAAATTAGAGCCCACCTTAAAATAGTGTCGAAAAATATGATTTCAATATTGAAAATTTTTGTGATAGCCTTAAAATATATTTTCATCTTTAATTATCAAATTTAAAACTTTAAAAGTAGTGTAGAACGAATAGATCTATAAAAACTTGAAAATCTTGAAAATTGACGGTCCAAAAATATGTGTTATAAGATACACTATTTTCAAAGCGTGAAATTCATTTTTTTTCTCATGTCCATGTATCTTGATGTCGAGATGATCAATTTGAGAATATTAGGGTATCAGAACAACCTCTTCTAGTGAAATTTTTGTGGTGGGCTCTAGTTTGATTGTTTAGAGCCTCGGCTCTATATAAACTTTTTCCTTTAGTTTTTTATGTGATACCATGTAAACCAAAGGAGACCCTCAATACATTGCTTTTGACAGTTTTTATTTTTGACACTTTATTCATCCCCTTTATACTTGAGAATCATGTTCTCTCTATTTCTATGTTAAACTTGAACTTTATTTCCATGTGATCTGGAATTCACATACATAATCCTAATGGAATCATACAGTGGATTAAAGCCTATTAAGACTGAGCACTGAATTGCAAGAGTGTTAGCTTGTATGTTACCTTTCCTACACTGTACATAAATTGTTTTCTCATGAGTGCTTTTCTTTTGGAAGGCCAGGGTTTCATTAATGTACAACAAGTTGAACGTACATAATTGGACTTACAAGCTACACTCATGTTAGTTACATTTAACCTCTCTCTTTGAACCTCAAGCTTTCTTCAATTACAATTTTTTGTTGAATACAAGTGATACCTTGCCCCACTGCCATGAGTTCAGCTTCATTGGTAATACAAAGGGTAAATACCCCCTCTGAATTTGTATTTACTTCAGAGTTCCAAAGCCATGGAGCATACTATCTGAGTGAATCATAGGATACATTGAATGATAGTCCATATCTAACCATAGTCCAACCTAGGAATATTCTTAAAATAATGCAAATAACTTATTTTAGTAGACCAATCCGCCAAATAGGCTGGTTATGAATACCCTGATCTCCAGATCTTAAAGCATCAACTCTAGACCAAACCTTGGAAGCCTTATATCTAGGACCCAGCCATTAAACCTCTACCTCCGAAAACTTAGGAAACTTTAGACAAGAAAAATCCTCGTTCAAGTTCCCTAGATGTAAATTCTTAGGCATTCAAGCTTAGAATGGATTTGAAGATTTCAAGTCAAAGGGAATTCCATGGGTTTAGGATAGTTCACTATAGGACGTGGTTTCTATGCGGTCAAGCCTTTATATGTTGAAATGCAAGCTTCTTAATAAATCTATTTTTGAGATGGATTTTAAGACTTAATTTTTAAAGACATATAATATCTAATATGGAAATTATGAATATAAAAAACAAATAAATTTTAAAAACTAATAGTAATAATTTTAGTAAAAAATATTTGTACTGTTGGTTTCCATTGTTTTTAAATTGAGCACCTATTTGCATCCCTCTTTAAGATGAAAGTTTTACCTTTCCTTCACTGCATATATAGAAATGCATGTTTTACCTTTTCTTCACTGCATATGTAGAAATGCGGTGCGACCCACATGAAACAATTTTCCTTTACTGTATGGGGGCGTACCACTTTTTTCAATCTCCCTTTCTCTTTCTCTCCCTTACCTCAACAATTTTCCTTTACTGTATGGGGGCGTACCACTTTTTTCAATCTCCCTTTCTCTTTCTCTCCCTTACCTCAACATGTGGAAACCTCTTGGATTTTGAGTGGAGTGATCTCACAATAGAGAACTAGGGTTGAAGAGACTTTATATGATTTTAGGAGAGAGAATGTGAGTAGCATTTAACGTAGATTTGTTGTGTCATTGATGTGACATATCAATGGTGTGAGTGTGCCCATGATCCTAGCTATAGCTATTATAATGAAGGGTTATAATTTAGCCAGCTCACCTACTTAATCCAGATACTAATTTTTAAATTTTAAAATTCATTTGACGTTTTACAAAAGTAATCATGGTGTTTAAATGACACGAGAGAAAACAAAAAGGAGTGGGGCATGCCCCTTAGGGAGGAATTCTCAATCTATAGTTTGAAATTTGAAATATAGGTTTTCTTTTTTAAATGTCATTTTCCACATGTACCACACTTCACACACTTGGTGTGATATTTTACACACTTGTGTCATATGATCATACATGCGACTGATGAGAGATTAACACATATGAAACACCTTGTAGCTTCAAATTCTCATTAGAATAGAATTCTCAAAATAATAAAAATGTCACATACTTATTGCAATTCACACATACGCCCATACACTCACATGCTACTAATACTCAACTCACAAAAACACAAATAAGGGGTTCAAACAAACACCCCATTATGGCACACCCCACTATGTGGCACGCCCACATCATCCATATGTCACTGGCATGTGGTGATGTCGCATCCATGTAATGGCCACGTGGTACACATTGGCCACCACATACGCCATACAATTGGGTGTCCTTAAATGAAACATTGTCTAATAAATTTAGAAACACTAATTTTCTCAAATAAAAATTATAAAAAAATCTCCAATAATTAGAAAAATATTACTTAGTATTTTCTCATAAAATAAAATTTTTTTTTTACCTAGATAAAATAGTTTGAGGGAAATTAGGATCCTATAAAAATTAAATTGGACAGTCTGGTGCTCTACTTTGTTAATCTAGAAATCCTAAATTATTTTATTGAGTCTACCCACCGAAGCGCTGGTTGCCCAAAAATGTGTTACAAAATATTATTATGATATTATGACTCCATATACAAATAAATAAACTAGAGAACTAACATAACTATTTTGCACTTAACTTTCATTTCATGGAAACAAAAGGGTTTTACATATATACTAGGGATCATGACGAGTTCCAGAAACTTTCAAT